CCCCAAAACCCCAAAACCCCAAAACCCCAACATAATAAAGATCTATTGAATTACTCATTTTCTGAACATACCTGATTAAAGATCTTTCACATTCATCTTTGTCAATCCATTTTCTTGCAATATCGCCTCAGCCTGACTCTTTGACATTCCACAGTTGCCCAAATGAATGTCAATGTGCCTGTTCTTGATGCTCTCCACCTTTGCAAAGCCCTTGACAATATTCTTAAACTTCATGAACCCGTCCTCGCTCCAGTTGGTGTAACCACTATGCCCAGTGTAATTAAAATCAATGGCAGTGAAGGAAGCCTGGTCTAATCTATCTTTGAAATCGATTTCTGAGTCAGTCAAGATTTTACATCCATAAAAATAGGCATACTTGGAGTGCTGACAAGAAAGCATGAGGTCTTCGAACTCCTGCTTGGTAATTGCCCAATGCACAAGTTCTACTTTGTCAGGAATGAGAGGGAGGGTCTTTTGGAGAGAACCCATGTAGGCAGAGATTGAAGGGTAGGAGATAGAGCCAGTGCTGAAGCGGAAGTATTTAATATGTTCGCTCAGAGAGTTCTCTATAAACTTAGTTATTACTTCCGGATGATTGAAGTTATAAATTTTGCAGACATCTAGACTGGCTAGAGGAGGGAGTCTGAACAGCTGCAAGGTCTTCAATAAGTCTTGGCTAGAAGTATTGCTCAAGTTAATGCAAACGGATGAAGACTCGTTGAATGAATTTGAAGACCCGCAGATTGAATTTTGAATCTTTTTGAATTCTTGGTAGCTGAGAGTGTGTTTGGACTGCTCTAAAGTATTATCCAGGTTAAGTATTTGCTCCTTCATCTCTTCAATTAGGCCATTGTTGGTTTTCTGTTCTTCTGTGAGAGTCTGAGCTGTTTGAGTAAGGTTTAAGATTTCTTGTTGTCTTTCTGAGGAAACTTGCTCGAAGCTATTCTTCTCTTGCGTCAAAGCCTGAATTGTCTGATCGAGCTCTTCCTTGTCTTGCTCCAATCTCTCCAGTTGGGCGTTCTTCTCTCTGTCTCTCTCAGTTGCTCTTCTCAGGACTTCCTTCAGAGGGTTCACTTGTTCAGCAATGATTGTTTGTTGAATTTCTTGAACTTTAGCTCTGACAGCTGCCTGGGACATATAATTAGTCATAGAATCTGCGGATTTGGACTCTTTGAACTCTCTGCAGTGAAGCTCTCTGTTGAACTTCTTCATCAGTTCCGAGTCGAAGATCAAGTTCAAAAAAGTCTTAATCTCCACCTGAAAGTCAACAAGCTTGTTCCAACGCCCATTGGCCTTAATTGCTTGAAGCTCTTCTAAATGGATGTTAGCTTTATGGTTATTGGTACCTTTGAGTTTTTTGTAGGTCGTGTTGAACTCTTCAAGTTGGGGTAGCACTCCATCCCAGACTTCATCAAGCTTATGTTGTTGTCTGAAGCATTCGATCTTGTTGAGGTTGTGTTGGGCTATAGCCAAGAAAAGATCTACAATAATATCGAAAGGAATTATGGATTTTCAGAAATGTGGGAAAGGATTGGAAAATAAAGTATCAAGATCTTCCAGAACTCTAAGAAGAAGCATCGCTATCCTGTATTTATCAGCTTGTGAAGCCTTAGATGCAGAGCTTACCACTGTTGAGGCATTCAGTAATTGGGTCAATCTCAGGGATAGGCTCTGAAACCTGGTCAGAGTAATGAGTCATCATACACATCGAACAGACGAACAAATCTTGTTTGAGAGCATTATCCGCACTCTTTCTGACCATATATGCGATCTTCTCTCAATCCATATAAGTCTTGCACCTTGGCATTCCTTGAATCATATTTATTATTATAAAATAATTTATTTTCCCCCTTATATATTCCTCACGGGGTTTTGGGGTTTTGGGGTTTTGGGGTTTTGGGG